TTGGAGAGGTTTTTGCTATAGGGTGCATGCACTCACCAGAAAGACAGAGAGAGACAGAGAAAGACAGAAAGTGAGAAATCACCCCCACCCCACCCCCGAGGGGGGATGGCCACGCCTCAATACCCTCTCCTCCATTCTCCTCTCAGGATCTTGGGCACGCAGGCACATGCGCCCTGTGAGAGTTTAAGCCATCCCCAGTCGACGACATGGGAGTCCAGCGACATAGCCATTACGCTAACTGCTGGTCCCTATCTCCTTTTTTAAGAATAAATTTTGTGTATTTTGGTGGACCCTCACCCTGAGTCTCTTCAGATTTGATTTCTTTGGGTTTATCTTCATTAAACTTCACATTTTTCACTTGCTCAGATACTTATACTTTCAGTACGCTTGAAATGCTTGCTTTCAAAAAGATGGTTATATGCTGTAACCAAATGGTTCTTGTTAGCTGTCTTGGCGACATTTTTAATGTTTCCTAGTAATTTATGTCCTCCAAGAAAGGAATCTGAACCGTTTTCCTGCAGAAACTTGATAATGTCCTTCTTGGGCAAAGGCTCACTGTGCAGTTGCTCCGCCCGCTGCGGAGCACCGGTAGCCATTTTCCCCCACTGCCGCTCCTTTGCTGAGCCAGCCCCTATAGTACTAATTTAAGATAATTAGTCACATGTCATTTTGTGGCAATCTGAATATTTGTTTTTCATTCATTTACTTATTCACTTAACACTTACGAAGTCTTCAGTTAGTCATTAGTGGAATACCAAGGTAAGATATAGTGCTATTTGATTAATTATACATGGATAAGTATTTGTAGAATTTTCATTTTGTTTAAATATAAATCTCTGTACAAATCTCAGACAGCAAACCACCTAGCCGAAAATACTTCCCTTGGGACCACAGAAGGCATAATGGTTACATCACTGGACTCCCATGTGGTTGACTGTGGTTCAAATACTGGATCTGGTGGCTTAAAACTTACACTGGGCACGTGTGTGTGCATGCCCAAAATCCCAAGAAGAGAATGGAGAAAAAGGGACTGTGGCATGGCTGTCTCCACTGAGGGGTGACTTCTTGCTTTCTGTCTCTCTGTCACTCTCTGTCTTTCCGATAAGCACAAGTGTCCTATAGCAGAAAATCTCTCGCAAAAACAAAACAAAACAAAAGCACACAGACAAAACAAAACAAAAGTCCCTGTCTTAATAACCTAAGTAAGTTTCACAGTTTTAGTGTTCAAAATTTTAGTATGTAAAGCCTTTTTGTATGACTCAGGACTAGACAGAACTACCGGGATAGATGGATCATTCTGATGGCTACTAACTGTCTCTTTTGAATTTATTTCTCTCTGGACAGAGAAGTGCACGTTATCATTAGAACTCTTTCTTCAGTTGTTTTATACCTGTCTTGAAGTACAATGAAGCTACCACACTAAGCTTTGCTTTCCTTTTAAAGTAACTGTATTATTATTTACAGAATAAGGGATCAAGTAAATCTAACTCTAGCACAACCTATGTTGTAAAGATGAACTATAAAGATTTTTTGCATCCACTTCTTTTTGAGCTTCCAAATATTACAGGCTACATAAAAATCACTGCCATTTAATTACTTCAGGTAGAGGGAAATAATTCTCCTTCTGTCTCTGGAATGGAACAAGAGGCATAGAATATTTCTCATTTAGGGTCTAGAAATGAGTTAAAAATTATTTTAATGAGCGCCTTCTCCTGAACTTCATTCTTGGAAAATGAGTAAAGAAGGAGTTGATTTTTTAAGGTTTTTGTTTTAAAATAATATTTCTCTATTGAAATAGCCAGTAAGTGCTCCTAAGTAATACCAGATTTTTTTTAATGATTTAGATCTTATACCCTCTAAAAGAGCTTCTACGTCCACCTTATAGAGATATTCAGGCCTTATATATCGAGAATACAAGGTAACAAGTGTTTCATGCATTTATTTCCTTCAGATACCAGCATGTGGTGACCCTGTGCATAATTCAGATTCATACTACTATGACAAAATTACAGATGTCTCATACCAACAATGCATCTAAAGCACACAACTGTCCAGAAACTGAGCCATAAACCACAAAATAAACCCAGCAATCTATCAAAGGGAATTTTTATCAATTTGTAGTAGAAAGAATCAGAAGCAAACAGAGAAACACTTTCATTGATCTGGTATTGAAATCACTCCAAGCCTGAGTTTCAAAAACTATACCTGTAGAGAGACTAATGGTGTGTTAGCAGAAGTATTATATAACCATTCCAATTTTCCAGTTCATATCAGTCAGCCATTCCTAAGTATGACTGGCAATAGTTCTGTCCTGCAAACTTAAAGTTGCACAATTCTATTTCAAAGCCTGTAAACACAGCCTGAGATTATGTTTATGCAATGCAAAATAAAGTCTATTCCTAATGAAACAGCAGTGGGGGGAGATGGGGATCAAAACAACTGCTCAGATTTTTAAGGCCAAAAATACCGATGGACTATTTCTGCTATTTTAGGCATATTTTTGGTCTGCACTTATACTCTTTCTATGTATTTGTTTCTGACATTCCAGCAGTGTATGTTGCTTTCTTTTGCATTGTTGAAAGTAATATATCACTTTAGGAAGCTGATTCTTGTTTTTTGTTTTTTAATTTATTTTTAGGAAGCTGTTGATAACCCTTCCCCACCCTGTGGAAAGCAACAGTGCCAGAGCATTGTATATCTCAGAAACTGAAACCCTCGAAGTCACCTTAACTTTGAAAAGAGAGCTGGATTTTAATTTTGTCTGAAACTACGTGAACAAGGAGAAAAAGTGGTAAAATGTCATTGTTCACAATTTTGAAACTTTGCAAATCATAGTTAATGTAATCATAGTTAATGTTTTGTGTATTCTTTTCATTAGCCTGACATATTTTGGAAAGGGTCAAAATTTTATTTTTGTGGCATTTTGATCATTTACTGTTACTTCTATCACTGTTAGGCAATATTTTCTTATATAAATAAGCTATTTCATTTTTTCTAAATTTGCATTTAATCATTGTACATTTTTACAGCATATAGTATGGATTCTAGGAGCGTTGTATGTCAAGTAAGTCAAAGATATTACCATACACGATAACTTTCCATTCTTGCCAATAGAAAGTTTACAGATTAACCAATTAGATTACTAAATGATCAATTACATAACTGAAATATGTGAAATATGACCAGGAAATGATTGGTCCATTTTTTCTGTAGTTGGAAGAACTTAAGCCAATTAATCACACTACAATACAATAACAATTGGGTTGTTATTACCAGAAAATTTCATTTGGTTACCTTCTCATTGATTTGATCAAATGATGTAGAGTGTTTTTAGTTTAAGCTCTCACTACCATTCTGGAATATACAGGTAACAAAGGATTATAAATAGTTTGATGCACCAATCTAGTTACATATTTACTTGAATAAAAAATACTCTTGAACATACAGTATTATTTAGCTTCTTCAGTTGTATTTTCAATACGTGAATCTAGTTAAGTTAAAAATAGTTTTCTTATGTTCACTAATAATTATTAACAGTGATTTGGGGGTATTGTGTTTATATTTAGTCAACTGAATTCCCTGACATTTAAATGGAATATAAAGAACAGTATGGTATGTTTATAAATCCTGTTCTCTCTCGTTCTGCATATTTCTTCTTAATTTGACATACCCACTTTTATTGTGTCAATGCCCTCTGCCTCTTCTTTACTGTATGGTATACATTTATTTCAGCATCATTTATGAATAAATTACATTTTAAATATTGTGTGACTTGGCCTTACACATCATTATAGAACCGTGGAGTTACCTGGAAGTAAATGTTGAAAATAGATGAAGAACTGGGGCCTTAGGTGGCATAGTGTTTAAGGTACTGGACTCCCACATGGTTGGCTGTGGTTCGAGTTCCAGACTCAACAGCTTCAAACTCATGCTGGGCGTGTGTGTGTGTGTGTGTGTGTGTGTGTGTGTGTGTGCCCAAAATCCCAAGAGGAGAATGGAGGAGAAGGGATTGTGACATGGTCATCACTCCTGGGGGGTGATGTCTCATTTTCTGTCTCTGTGTTTTTCTCTCCTCCAGTGAAGGCACACTCCCTATAGCAAAAATCTCTCTCTCTCTCAAAAAAAAAAAAAAGTAGGTGAAGAACTAAACGGTGTTTGTTGTGTCTGTGCAAACTATATATTTCTTCCATGAACAAGAGAGGCAGAGACACAGCACCCCCAACAGAACCTTGAGACCATGATTGATGTCAGTTTAAGCCAGCTCCAGATCATGGGCACCCTCATGGCCTTGGCATACTCAGGGATATCTCCAGTTATGAATTCAGAACCTTGCCATGTGGGACAAACCCAGAACATTACTATTTTTTATTTCTTTATTTCACGTTATAATTTCTTATCTAAATTTAGTTTTTGTGTGTCTTTCTGGGGTACAATATGATTTTTCAAAGCGTGCATGGAGTGTGTGATAATCAAATCTAGGATATTACCATAGTCATCATCTTCAACAAGAACATTATTTTATGAACTTCCAATTTTCATTCCGTTTCTTTGTGTGTGTATATATATATACACATACACTTATAGGCAACAACTGCTTTCATTTGTTGTTGCTATAGTGAGCATGCACTCGCCAGAGAAAGACAGAGACAGAGGGGGGTAAGAGAGAGAAAATTAGAAATCTTCCCCCCTCCAAGGGGGGATGGCTACGCCACAACCTTTTCTCCATTGTCCTCTCAGGATTTGGGGCATGTAAGCACACACACAGGCGTGATTCTCAAGCTGCCAGATTCGAGAATTCAAACCATGAAGGTGCTCATGTGGGATTCAGCACTTTATCTTCCATGCCACCTGCTGGCCCAACAACTTTTTTTTTCTACCCTGTTGTGGTATCCTGTTTCATAATCTGTTTAACTATTTGCTTTGTTTAAATGCATTCTTGTATCTTTTCCTGAGTTCCTCTCCACCACTCCTCATCCCCCATGCAGTTTCTGATATCTATGGTTGGCCTCTATTTCCATGTGTTTGAATCTTTCAATTTATGCCATAGAGTGCAGACATTCAGTATATGTTAAATTGGGGCATCCTATGTTTTTCTTTCTTAGTCCATTTTATTTCACTTAGCAATAAATCTTCTAGAATAATACATTTTGTATAAAATGATAGAATCTCACTATTTTTTATGGCTGAGTAGTATTCCATTCTGTGTTTGTGACATAAGTTCTTAATCCAGTCATCAGCGTTGGGCTTTTAATTGGTGCCATGTCTTAGCTATTGTGAATAATGCTACAATAAACATACATGTGCAAGTGTCTCTCCAACAGAGTGATTTTCTGTCCTTTGGGTAAATACTTAGGAGTAGGATTACTGGATCATATTTAGTAAATTCTCTTTGTAAATTTTTAAGGAAACTCCATATTATTTTCCATGGTAGCTGTACTAGTTTATGTTCCTACAAGTAGTACACAAGGGTTTGTTTCCTTTTCTTCACAACCTCACCAGCACTTACCATCCTTTGTCTCTTTTTGTTTGATTTGAGCCTACTCATTCTGACTAGGGTTAAATGAAACCTCATTATGGCTATAGCACGCAATAGGGTTTTTTCAAAGTATGCATGAAGCATGTGACAATCAAATCAAGGATATTACTATAAACATCATTTTCAACAGAGAACTTTATATTCCTATGTCTGTTAAGTATTTCTTCCCTGAGCCCCCCTCACCTCTCCACTCCCCCATGCAGTCTCTGTATTTAAACTTGTCTTCTCTATTATATCTTTGAATCTTTTAATTTCAGCCATAGAGTGGAGACATTAGGCATATATCGAGCAAAGGTTTACATTATTTATCTTTCATGGTCTAGCTTACTTTGCTTAGCATTATATCTTCTATATTCACTCATTTTGTGTCAAATGATGAGGTCTCATTATTCCTTATGGCTGAGTAATATTCTTATTTATTTTCTTCTATTAGTTTTGAATGTTTTTTATTGTTTTCTAGTTCCTTGAGATGTATCATTAGGTTATTTATTTTCTATTTTTTTATCTTTCTTTTTTAAATTTTTGGAGCTGTTTTATTTATTTATTTATTTATTTATTTATTTATTACCATTTACTGTACAGCAATACAGTATACAAAATGAGATTTTCTATCCAGTATTCATTGTATATTGGCCCAATCAAGGATATAACCATACATGTTATAATCAACAAATAATTTTCTATTTTTTGTTTCTTATATATTTTGCTTTTTTTCCACCTAGATTTCCCACCTCTCACCCTCTGCCAATTCCCCTCCTCCTCCCACACTGTCTCTGGTATTCACTAAAGATCTTAATCAATTTAAAGACTACCAGTAGCAAGCACAGCTGATAAATACTTATGTATGAACCAAATGCATGTCTGACTTTAGGCATAGACCTCAATGAGTAAAGTGAACATACTATAAAGTAGAACCTCATTGGGGCTATATAGCTTGCTGCAGTCATTAAATAGGTATTAATAGGTATTTTTTAATACATTTCTTATTTTCCATTGGAGGAGAGAGATTTTCTTGGTTTCTCACATTTCTTGTGCTCTGTAGTGGTTTCTGTTCATATGATGGATTATACTTTTTTCCTATTTTTTGGAGTTAAATCTGAGCATTCCGAAAAATGCAGAAGGAGATGACATGCAGTCTGTAAACAGTACCGTTTTTTTCTCCCTTTGCATAGCTGATTCAATGAAAATTGAGGATTAATCTAACCCTAAAAGTATTCAGATATTTGGCTACTGAGCACCTAGACCTCTCTAGAAATCAATGTGTGGAAGCTGAGCAGAAAAGTGAGAAAGGTAAAAAGGAAAGGAAAAGTAATAGAAAAAAAAGAAGAGGAAATAAAGACAAAAACAATAAGAAAAGGAAAAGAAAAAATGTTGTCAAAAAATGAATGGGACCAATCAGAACTCAAATATAGATGGCTGCGGATTGGCTTATCCTATGAGAGCAGGGGAAAAAGTAAGAATTGGAAAAAGAGCAGCATAGACCTGAGTTCAGAAATTAAAAAAAAATTAAAAAGAGAGACAGAGAGAGATGGAAAGAGATAGAGAGAATAAGTAGGGTGCTCTAACCTGGCTCCTGGCTAGACCTGGGGAGCAGGAGGGTGAAGTCTGGGCAGAGGGACTTCTATGACTGAAATCTCTGAATGGAGCCACTCAGAACTCAAATATAGATGGCTGCTGATTGGCTGATCCTGGTTCCTGGCTAGACCTGGGGAGTAAGAGGGTGAAATCTGGGAATAAAATCTTTTTTGGTTTAAATCCTTTTTTTTTTTTTTTTTCTTGTGAGCAATAATTGCTATAAACTTTCCTCTCAAGATTGCTTTCAATGTGTCCCAGAAATTCTGGAGTGTTTCATCTTCAATTGTCAATATTTTCAAGAAACTTTTAGAATTCATTTTTAATTTCTTCAATAGTTTAAGTGTCATTAGAGAGTAAAATGTTTAGTTTGCATGTATTTGCATATTTCCAAAGGTTCTTTCTGTTGTTGATTTCAAGTTTAAATCCATTGTGATCAGAAAAGGTGCTAGATAAGCCATTTTAAATCTGAGATGTGTCCTGGCATGTTCAGGGAAGCTATGGTTTGAACTCCATGTTCTAGACTCCCCAAATACTCAGACAATAAACCATTTTAAATCTGAGGTGTGTCCTGGTGTGTTCAGGGAAGCTATTCTAAACTCCATCTTCTAGACCTCTGAAATACTCAGACAAGGTAAGGGGACCTCTGTCCTTTCTCTGTCTCTGTCTGTCTCATGCTCTCTCTCT